CTAGCCCTTAGGGGTTAGGGGGGAAACGTAGCTTTCACACCAGCAGAGAGCAAAAACAAGGGGATCTTTCCTGATTTACGTCCCCAGCGCTTTTGTGCTAGCAGCAAACACAAAGCCTTGTACTATAAGATTACATAGGTTTGGTCTCCTGGGTGACTTGGCTGAGCTTGGAGTTCTCGTTAATTTAAAAGAAAACACTATTGTGCTTCTGGCCACACAGCAGGAAGCCACAGGACACAGATGGAAAGAACTGCAGGGTGGTGCCATGCTACCTGGCCCTGCAGAAACAAGCCTTCCTCTGTCATAGCCCCACAGCACAGTCAGTAGTGCGGCCATTGCTGTACTCTTGTGGCAATAATTGGCTTCAGAGTTTGAAAAACATAGCTAGGGCCTGTCTGGTCTCAAACAGCTTCAGCTTGTTTGTAGCTGTATCAGCCCATTGCCAATAGTCACGTTGACTACAGTCAAACTTGCTTTAGCTATAATGGCAGAGCTACCTAGCAGTTTGTTTTCAGCTTCAGATTTGTTTTGTGTAACCCCAATTACTAACCCAAAGCATTATACCATGTAAGTTCATAGATTTTGCTAGCCAGTTAACATACTACTGAATTCATAGACCAATCAGAATGATGTGCTTGCAGTCAGCTGCTTGGAAATGCACACACATAGTATCAAGCTGGACCAGGAAACCCTCTGCTACCAACATCAGTACGTCACCTGGTGAAGAACCTGGACACTGGACACCATCCCACCCGAGGAAAAAAGACCCTCCACTGCAGGCCACAGGCACGTAGGCAAATATCACAACAGAGAAAAGGGAGATAGGGTAGAACATCTGTAACAGTTTTATTTGTATTATTAATGGGAATTAGCAATAATTGGAAAATCTGGACAGTAAGTGTTGATATCATTGTAACTAGATTAATAATAGCTGCTTGCTACTATGTTGACTAGATTGCTAGAGCAATTAATTACACTAACAAAACACAGCAATTCTTTGCTCCATATAAAAGGAGTCAAGTGTTTATTCCAAGTGTAACATGATCAGTTTTTACTCGGTATCCATATTATCTACAAGAAAAATCTACTAGAACTTAGCTCCTTTTGCTATGTCATCTTATTTTTTTTCACTGAGAATTTTCATTGACTACTTGTCATTAACTTTCTCTTTTCAATTATGGAAAATTTTCTGCAATCTTTTCCTGCCCTGAAGACCTGTGAGAAGGACTTCCAAAGGATCTGCTGCCTTGTTCACATAGACTTAACATGCATCTGCACTACAATGCTTGCTCTGGTGTTCATCCCCCCCTTCCCCCCATATAACTTTTATTCTCACAAGATGTGTTTATTTGGTTCCAGAAACAACCTGCCATGTCAGTTTACTCTCCAGTAGCTGTATCTGTCAGTTTGTCTGTGCACACAAGGCCTAAAGGGATTTGATGTTCAGATCTCCCTGGAACTAAACTGATTCAGGTACTTTGCTCCTTTTGGAATCACACATCTATTTTCTTCATGCTTAGTCCCACAGTATCATGCTTTCCTGTCAGGATATTACATGCCAGTTTTCTCTTCTTCACCTTCTGTTCCTTCTGCTCCGGTACATTTTCTCCAGTTCAGGCTCTTCTTCAGCTTTTCTTGATCCTATCAGCTGAAAAGGAAAGAGGCATTGATGGAGGCAGTTTTCCAGCTAGTGGATTCTCAAAGCCCAAGTGTGGATAAACCACAGGGCACCATTGGACACCAGGGGTTCCTGCTAAATGGTTCATTTCACTTTACACATCTAACTCAGGTCTAAGTGAGGAGGCCACCTTTAGTCAGGTAAGCAGCCTCTTTCCCCGTCTGTAGAGGACACAGGGACCCTAACCTCCCGATCCAGAAACCTCAGCCAAGCGGTGTTCTCTTTTCTCATGAGCATTCACAGTACAGCCATAAGAGTGTCTCCACCTTCATCTCAGTCCCCTCGGCCCCCAATTCCCTTCTCCCTCCAGGTGAAACCTGTTCCACCTTGAACAGCAATTTTGTTTTGTGCTTGCACTTCTTTCTTTGTGTCTTTTCAGCCATTGCTTGCTTGGTCTCTTCCCAGGAAACCCTACCTGTATCCACAGTGCTTTAAGCTTAACAGCAGCAGTCACCATTTTCAGCCCACCGCTAGTGCTATCTGCTGGACTTCTGCTCTACTGCGCCTTGCCATGTAGTGCACACGTAACTGTTCCTCACACTTTTTCCAAGCCTTTTTTAGAGCAGAAATCACACCCAGACAAGAACATTAATTTTTGTTCCTTTCCTGCTTGTTACCTCTACTCTTTTTATTACAAAAACAAAAGTTGAGCAACAGCCAGAAGAGTTCCGAGACCCTCACCTTTTAGACCTCTTCTGAAACCAAGAGCCATAATTATCATTTGGTTTAGCCAGGAGCACACTAAAACTTTGCTACTGTATTTGGTTAGGGAACAACTACAGCTTTCCTTAACATTTAAAAATTGTTCAAGCATACTATAATACACATTTATACATACAAACAGAAACATTCTCTATTACCTTTAGCCCTGTTAACTACAAGATATTAGCTCCTAAGGGGACTGCACAGTAAAAGAAAATGTTATTTTAGTTTCTTGGAACAACATACATACACAAACATACACATTTTCCCCATGCAGATATAAACATCTCTACATCCATATGAAATCTATTCTAAGTTCAGAATGTTCATTGCACACCTCAGCAAAGCAGCAGCTGGCAACCCCTGAGAGTGTGGAAAAGCTATTTTAAGAGAGTCTGTTCTGTTAATGTACTTGAGCTCCCACCTACAATATGCTAAGAGACACTGTTCTAAATATACACTGATGCCAAATGCAGGTATTCAATAAAGAGGAGATATAGAAGAGCGTAACTCTAAACTAAGGAGAAAAATGGTTACTTAACATGCACTTTTAAAAAGTGTTACCTCTGTATGTTCCAGAGCAGGAACACATACTCTAATCCAGATTCTTTGTAGTCATTTCTACCTGCGAGTTCAGGAACATACTAGGGTCATGATTTTTGGGTTCCTTCTTCAGCAAGTATTTTTCCCATAATAGCTAGAAAAGAGGGATAGTTAAGGAATTCATACGCTGAACGCTTTACTGTCACTACGCATAGTAGCAATAAATACAACACAAGAGATAGGTGCTAGGTTTCTACCTAAACAAGTCTCAGAGGAGACTCCGCTGGTGAATCTATTTGGGGAACTCCCTCTGAAAAAGTTACCTGCCCTCCATGTTTAATGGAGGAACATGTTTAAAGCTACAGGTGCTGCTCTGGGCCAGCAAACCTGGTTCTTTCCATCAAGGGTAGATCTAAAATGGTTATTTCATAATACAATTGAACAAATACAATAAATCACTTAAAAAATATCTCCAAGTTAATAAACATTAGGTTATTCTATTCAATCTCCCACTGCTAACACACCAATAACTTGGATAAAGTGCTTCTTTGCCACCTTCGCATTTCGCTGCTACTTTGTTGGAATATAGATGTAAAAGATAATGCTGTCTTGTCTCAATCTTTGGTTAAAAAAATTGAACACATGTTCATCTCTACAAAAAAATCTACAGAAATCGTTATGGACTTGTGAACCTGCTCCCACAGTTGTCCTTAATAGAAAAGGAAATCCACATGTTAAAAACCCACATATATATATGTTTATGGAAAAAACACTATGTCTGAAAAGCCAGGCCTATCAAGCCATCAACTGTTAACATTCTCAACAAAAACATACTTCGGATATAATGAAAAAGATCAACCAACCTTCAATTCAAGGGCAGAGTTCATGGTTCTCTTCAGACATCTAGGATGAAGTCTATGTTGCTTACCAGCATTCAAAAACTTGTTAGAGAATAAACTACCTCAGAAATTACACTGGAGTAATTTGATTGGAAAGATTAGTGCTTATAACAATTCCTTTGGCAGGTACACAAGTAACAGAATATTTTACTTACTTGAACATGAAATAATAAAAGACCCATCACTACAGGCTAAGCTTGAGTACTACTTCAAAACAAAGCAGTAAGTAGAGAAAAGATGGGGGAGAAGCTTTTATATGAGAAGTGCATACCAATGGGGGAGAACAGTGGGAAATGCATTCTAGGTTTTTGAAGAAAACTTAAAAACTCACAGTAGTAAAAATCAAGTAGCATTGGGTAGCAGAAAAAAACTTTTCAAAATTATTCTTTGACTCCAACTGCTTGCTTTTGTTTTATTAAAAAAAATTACTCAGAACACTCAACCTATATAAGAAACCCTGACAATCAGTTAAATACACAGATCAAAGACAAATAACATGAAATATCTGCATTAAAACAAAATACTCACAAGTGTTCTTAATTAGCATTTTGAATTCATTGCTCAAATATACACCAAGCTTTGTTGAAAGGTATGCTGCTACCAGCCTTGTTTGTTTTCCTCCCCTTGAAGCTGTAAAACACTTTATCTAATGCTTTTAAAGCCGCCTTTTACACTACATTTCAGGCTTAAGCTTCCAAAAAAACCCCACAACCAAACCATACCATACAGTTATTGTGCCATTCCTGTCTCTTGAGCACAGGTCAAGCAAAGGCTGTGGAGACAAAAAAATTACATATGTTGTTCCTTCAGACATCACAGGGATTTTTTTTTTATTGGTTTAGGAACGAGATGTGCACCCAGTTCAGTAGATACTGAATAGCAGGGAAGTCAGGAGCTAGATGCTTTGCTTTCAGAGATAAAAATTTAAATATTTACATACAAACCAAAAGTCTACAGAAAGTTGATTAAAAAATTCTATTTCTTTCTGGAGTATTCTTTCAACAGAAAAGGGAGGAGCTGCTTGTCTATCGTGAAGACTCATCATCAGCATTGCCCTACCGCAGCATGAGCCACCAACACCTTTCAGTTCTTTGCACAGTTTTTGCAATGTTCCCACAGATTCCAGAGGATTACATGGACAGGTTTCACATAGATCATTCTCCTGCATGTAATTTCTTTCAGACTTTATTGTGAAGAGAAGCCATACTTGATTCAACAGCAGTCAGTCTTGTTTCCAGAGCTTTTAACACAGTGTCTGCCTGTAAACACGGAAAGATACTCTGTTATGAACAGAACTTGACAAGACAAAGAGCAAGGGTAAATGTCAGTAAACGCTCAAATTTGATCTTGCATCACCAATCCTACTTGATTCTATCCCTGCTACTTCCATAGTTTGAAAGCTCACTCAACTCTAACATTAAGTCCCCACACTTTCTTGAATCTGTGATTGCCTCCAACCTTGGTAAGCATCAGATCCACACATTCAGCTTTTGCTAGACAACCATCAGCTTTCAGAGCCAACTTCACTACATTATTTGCTCCCAATTCTCCCTAACTGCAGTCAGAAGTTCTCAGTAGAGCAAAATGTCAACTCTGTTTATTATGCAATATTTCAATACAAAGTTACAGCAAAACCATTAGGGTCAGTTTACATGAGAAGACAGAAGAGACAACTAAAACAAAGTTAAGTGAAAATCTGGAGAAGTGAATCAGAACTAATTAGAAACAAAAATCTCTAATTACTGGCAGACATAAATAGGAATCTAACTCTACACTTGACAAACAGAAAATGCTAACTACCACTAAAATTGAAGGAAAAGTTACTGGAAACCTTGCACAACACAAGATATTAACACCATGAAGTACTACAGCATATGTTAAAACCCACAGAATTGGTCTGAATGAAGTTGTTTCGCAGAAACTATTTAAGAATATTAAGATTACATAGAGGTGATATAAACAAATAATGATATAGGGTTAAATCTTACCCTTTGTAGCACCTCTTCCAAGACAGCTCGACTTTCAAGAGTTAAAGGTTCCTCATCAGTAAGAGCTTGCTTTTCTGAGGATCCTAGAATGTAACTGATACATTAAAGTTTAGATCATGCAATTGTCACATTGAAGGCAAAAAAACAAATGTAGTATTCATTGTACTCAATGATTAAGATATTACGATTAATACACTAGAAAAACGGAAGCACAATTCCAATGACAACTAAAAGACAACGCATATTTGGTAATCTTGTAAACAAACTGTATGGTGGAATGAAAACAGTTCTAAGCACAGAACTACCATGATACCACCACTTTATGAAAGTTAGAACTCCAGCAAGAGACAGTCATGAACTCTGGTGCTACAGCATACGGTGAAAGGTCACGCAGACACTGAGAACAGAGTAGCACTAGCTGGGAGAGCCATCTATCACCACTACTGCCCAAGAAAATCGCATTTGTGGCCATGTTTCAGAAAATCTTACTGCCATGGAAAAAGCAAAGTACCATAGCTGTGGAAAAAGAAAAAAAAACACAACTGTCCAGAGCAGGAAGGTGAACATCCCCATAGATACAGCAGAATAAACTGGAACTTAACAAAAAGCAGAAATGTTAAAACTAGCCTAGACAAAAGTAAACGTAACCTATCACTGTTTACTAGAGTGACACTGGGATAAAAGCACTCTGGTGTGGAGACAATTTAGGATGCAGTTATCGAAGAATATTCTGAGACCACTTTCAAGTGCTACAAACCAATTAAAGCCAATACAAGAGCATACCTTCATTTTCTAGACAGTTTTTGATTGTAAGACAGTTCAGCGAGAACCTCAAGCACATATTCAAGGTTTAAGATTCGCATCTGCCTACCTCAGCAAGGAAAAAGCAGACTTGACCAGTACAGGTCAGACCTCACACTAAGTTCTGCTTGAACCCCTCTCCTCATGTTCTCTGCTGATGTTTACCTCTAACAGTCTTACAGTCAAGCCTATTTGGTACTACCTACAACTGCAGGCTCATTTCACATTGTCTAGAGCAGAGCACACATGCAGTCTCTTGTGATCGAATGAGAAGGAACCCTTCTGCATCATGTACCTAGTGTTGTTTTCCTGGATGGCACGCAATTTCTTATACAAAAGGGGGCCCTGGTATTTTCTTTTTTCTAGGGTTTGCCTAACATCATGCAGATGACCTTTCTCACACTCAAGCGCTGCGATGCCAGCAGCGGGGCTACAGAAAACCACTCTGGGGCAAAGCGGCAGATGCAGCTGCCTCTAGAGACGCCAGAAACACGAACAGGAGCACCCCCCAACAAGACGCCCGGCAGGCAAACCTCAGCGGGGAGGCTTTACCAGTCCCGGTTCTGCCTTTACCTTTCGATTGAGTCGACACTGAAACAGAACAAATCCCTCTTGTAGTCCAGGTGCTTCGGGGTGCACCTGTAGATGTCACCGAGCGTCATGGAGCAGCCAGAGCAGAACAGAGTTTCTATCATGCTGTAAGTACGATACGCAACGCTTGTTTAGGACATGAGAAAAAGAAACACCTCTCCCCACCCCTACTCTAAAAAGAAAAAAAAAAAAATCCATCCGTTGTGATTTCTTTAGAGCATTCGCCCCTCCCGCCCGCCGTCCCCGACGGGCCTCCCCTCAGTGCCTGTCCCGGGGCCTCTCGGCTCCCTCAGGAGAGGG